GTTTGTTTGTTTGTTTGTTTGTTATTTTATTTATTTATTTTTTTGATTTTATTTTGTTGATATACAATGTGGTTGATTATTGTGGCCCATTACCGAAACCTCCCTCTCTCCCTCCTCCTTTTCCCCCCTCCCACCCAACAATGTCCTTTCTGTTTGCTTGTCGTATCAACTTCAAGGAATTGTAGTTGTTATGTCTTCTTCCCCCCTAGTTTTTTTTGTTTGTTTGCTTGTTTTGTCTGTGAATTTATTTATTTATTTTTAGCTCCCACCAATAAGTGAGAACATGTGGTATTTCTCTTTCTGTGCCTGACTTGTTTCACTTAATATAATTCTCTCAAGGTCCATCCATGTTGTTGCAAATGGCAGTATTTCATTCTTTTTTATAGCTGAGTAGTATTCCATTGTGTAGATATACCACATTTTCCCTATCCACTCATCTGATGATAGACAGTTGGGCTGGTTCCAACTCTTGGCTATTGTAAATAGTGCTGCGATGAACATTGGGGAACAGGCATACCTTCGACTTGATGATTTCCATTCCTCTGGGTATATTCCCAGCAGTGGGATAGCTGGGTCATATGGTAGATCTATCTGCAATTGTTCGAGGAACCTCCATACCATTTTCCGTAGAGGCTGCACCATTTTGCAGTCCCACCAACAATGTATGAGAGTTCCTTTTTCTCCGCAACCTCGCCAGCATTTATCGTTCAGCGTCTTTTGGATTTCAGCCATCCTAACTGGGGTGAGACGGTATCTCAGTGTAGTTTTGATTTGCATTTATCTGGAAACCTCTTGACATGTAGGTGGTGCATAAGAAATGGCGGGGGTGTGACCCAAAAAACAACTTGTCCTGATTCGGCACTCAAATTCACCATCTGGGAAGAGTAAGAAAGACTTCCGTGGCTACACGAGGGCCAACAGTGTGTACTATACATGCAGCAGGGGCCACTTTGTTCTGCCCCAACTCTCCCGAGGCTTGCGCAGCGCCGCCGTGAACTTGCGATATTAAAAGGAGGTGGTGAACATTAACAAATTGTCTCTTGTATCCCAAGCTCGCTCTCTATCTGATCCTTATTTAAGGCAGCCCCTCAGTTTGACCAGAAAGCTCCTATTGTTTCCATCCCTCCCGAAACCCACAAATCCAGCCCGCGCTCCCCAATCCCACTCTGCCTTGCGCTCAACACCCATCCAGTGGGTCTTCAAACGCCCTCGCCTTAGAGTCAGAGCCTTAAAGCGCGGCGACTCAGGCGCTTGGCATGACGGTATTTGTAGTTCTGGGGCGGAAGGGCTCAGGAGTGAGACCTTTGCGCATGCGTGTCTCAAGCGGGTTTGTGTCCAGCGGAGGTGGCTGCGGTGGTAGTTCCCGCTACTGTTTTAAGGCGTCTTCTCCGACTTTCAGAGTGGAGTTAGGTGCCATCCGACTCTTCCTTAGCCTGGGAGGCCCCAAAAACTACTCATAAATGAACGGAGCTGGGACCGGCTTTGCCAACGGGATGTGGTCTGAGAAACCTGTCCCCCTCCTCCAGGCACGGGCAAAAATTGACCTGTGCTGCGGTCTAGGGTCAATTGTCCCTCGGGGCAGGGTTGGGTTCTCTGTTGGGATTACAGCACAAGTTGATTCAGTAAATATTGGTTTAGGGAAGGGCTGAATACAGTGTAATGACGGCCTTGAGCCTTGCGGGGGCGGGAGGGGGGAGAAACATTTTAAAAGAACTATTTATGGCCGGCCTGCTAATGCTTAACTTTGATTATCTTTTTTTTTTTTTTTTTTTTTTTTTTTTTTAAA